GAAGTTGTTCGTCGGCTTGCTGTGAATGGTACCTGACTCAACAGCACATAACAATGACCTGCTCTCATAAGCATGTGTGTGTGTGTGTGTGTGCCCGCGCGCACGTGCACGCCTTCACAGATGCCTCCGGTCACCTCAGTAACATTCTGTGAGCTGATTGTCCTGCCCCGTCTTCCCCCATTCCAGGATTCAGTTAAGATTAACAGTACACTTCATTCTGTCAGAGTCTTTCTTTCCTGGCCTTTACTCTCATTTTCTAGCCTCTTTTGGTGATTGGCATTGTGACAGGCGAGTTTTGAAACTTCGGAAGAATCCAAGTCAGTTGTTTTAAATACTGTCTCTCAGTTTGAATTTGTCTGGCTGTGTCCTCAGGGCTAAATTCAAGGTAGACCTGTTTTTGGCAGGATTGCTGTAAGGAAAGTGCATTTTTCAGTCCTTGGAGAAATCCCACTAGGAGGCACATGATGTCGAAATGAACCCGTCTGACTTTGATGATCAGATTCCCTTGACATCCGTCAGATCTCACCATGTCCTGTTTCCCAGCAACCTGTCAATTAGTGATGGTTCCAGTAACGTCTGGAGGATAAAAACTGCCTTTATACTATTTTCCCAATAGAAGGAGTGCACTTAAGGCCTCATAAAAGGTACCTAGTGACTCACTGACGTTTTATTGAGCAAAGGACGGCTTATGATGTATTGGCCTTTATTCAGTAAGTGTTTGTTGTTGGCAGGTGCCTTTGCATCAGTTGTGACTCCTAGGCCTGATGTAGGAGGAGGAGGACCCCCTGCCCAGGCCTGCTGCACCCTCATCACCATTGTTGTGTTAGGACCCATTGTTCCAGCCACTGTATCAGTCCACCTCATTGAGGGTCTTCGTCTTTTATGCTGACCCTTTACCAAGCATGCTGTCCTTCTTCAGGGACTCGCCCTTCCTGATAACACATTCAGAATATGTGAGACAGTATTAACCGTCCTTGCTCCTAAGCTTAGAACACTCTGGACTTTTTCCAAGACAGATTTGTTTGTTTTTCTGGCAGTCCATGGTGTATTCTGTATTCTTAGCCATCACCATAATTCATAGGCCTCAGTGATTCTTACGAATTTTCTAGCTTTCACATGCAGATGAGGTGGTTGAAAGATCTGGCTTGAGTAGGCACATCTTAGTCCTTAAAGTGACATCTGTGCTCTTTAGCACTTTCAGTAGAGCTGTGCAGTGCAATTCTTTGATTTCTCAACTGTAGCTTTTATAGGTATTGATGGTAGAATCAAGGGAATGGAATTCATAACTTCAGTCTTCATTTATCATCATGACTCTATGAAGAAGAATGTGGTATCAGGAGTGGAGGAAGACGCATCAATAACCTTCATTATGCAGATGACCCTGTCATGCTTTTTCAAAGTAACATGGACTTGAAGCCCTTTGCTGCAGAAGGTTAAATACTGCAGCCTTCATTATAGATTGCATCTCAACATCAAGAAAGAAAAAATCCTTGCCAGTGGACCAACAGGCGGCATCATGATGGGGAGAGAAGGTTGAAACTGTCAGCACCTTCGACTTCCTCTTGTATCCACACTTAGTACACTTGGAACCAGCGGTCAGGAGATCAGGAGACTTACTGCACTGGGAAAGCCCACAGTCAAGGATCTCTCCAAATTATTGAAGGACAGAGATGTTCATTTGAGGACTGAGGTGTGTCTGATTCAGGCTGAGATTTGGAAATGCAGGTTTAACAGTGGTGCCTAAGATGGCCCCATTGGCCTTGAGGGAAACCCCCCTGGTCTGTTCCTAGAAGGGATATGTTTGTATATCAAGGGAGCACAGGAAGTTGTAATTAATTTTCAAGTCAAGATAGGAGGCAGTACGGACAGCTGACTTCCTGACGAGAACGACATGTGATTTGATTTGTCCTTGTCAGTTTTCAGTGAGCCATATCCCGTGCGCCAATTAAGCACCATCACCATGCATTAGTTCCTTTTAAAAATCTCATTATGCTGTTTCTGACCCAAGTGCAGTGTGGTCATTTGGACCAAGTGGCCCTTTTGTGAAATCATAGCAGTTTGGTGCGTGGTGAGTGTCATGTGCTGGTTTGAGCAGGGTGCTGACGTCACTGCTGCCAACCCGGGTTCAGGCCTGAGCCTGTGTTGGCTGCCTGCTGGGTAGTGACTGGGAAGGCTGCCCTTCTGGGTGACCCATTTTGGGGAGAAATTGTATCATCATTCTGATCACGTAGATCTACTCAGATGCTGTTGTAAAAGAGTTCCTTTCTGATGAAGCCAGTGGACGTCATTCCTGATGTACCTTGAATAGCGATTTTAAAAAGAAAGGTTTTGCCATGCCTGCTGTCCAGCATTGTTTCAAATGATAAACCATGACATTTAACATCTGAGAATGATAACATCAGCCGATTATACACTGTAGTATTGTGTGCAGTACATAGTACTAACAATAAGGTCTAAAAGCTGTGAGTCAGTATAATTAGAATATATCCTGAATCAAAGACAGCCTCTGGTGTCTCCATACAATTGATACCAGACAAGAATCCTCATCCTGGACTTGCAGGACTTGGCATCGCCTGTTTCCCTTCTTCTGATCCTTTCTCATCTTCACAGCTCCACCGCCCTCTTCCACATGAGTTAGACCTCTCACTGTGTGACCTTGGACCAGCTACCTAGCCTGGCCCTCGGTTTCATCTTCTGTGTGGTCATTGTTAAGTACCGTGGAGTCCGCTGTGACTCACTGCAAACCGTTGAACAGCAGATCTGAGCCGTTCTGTGCCGTCCTCACCATCTGATACATGTGAGCCCGTTGTTGAACAGTCAGGTGTCCGTCCACCTTGTTGAGGGTCTTCTTTTTCTCAGACCTCCCGTCTTTCCCAGGATGGCGTCTTTTTCCAGGGACTGGTCTCTTGACAGTGTGCTCGAGTATGTGAGACGATGCTTCACCATGCTTACCTCTCAAGGAGCACCCTGGCCGCACTTTCTCCAGGACCTGTCAGGTTGCTCTTTGGCGGTTCATGGGCTATTCAGCACCCTTCTCCAACACCACAGCTCAAAAGCCTCAGCTCTTCTGCCATCCTTATTCATTGTCCAGCTTTCAGATGTATAGGAAGCCATTGTAAGAATCCTCATAATAGCTCCTGCCTCACAGGGTTTTTAATAAATTGAGATAATATCTTTTGAAGACAGTGACCTCTATTTATAAAGATTTAAGTAAGTATTAAGAACTATGGCGAATTTTTAATATTCGTGGGCCCATTTTCATCCTGATAAATGAGGTCAAGTAGGAAGAGGCCGTGGAGAGATGGCCACACAGATAATGGTACTAACAGTAGGTGGCACTCACTCGCTGTGTTTTGGGTCCTGTGTGTGTCTCCATTCAATTCCCTGTGTGTCTTGAGTGGTTGCTGCTCTGAGTCCTGTTGCTCTATGAGGAAATCAGTGTGTAGACAGGATATCATTGGGCCAAGGTCATGTAGCTGGTGTGTGAGAAGCCGGCGTTAGAATCAAGGCAGGGTGGCTCCGGAACCCAAAACCCAAACCAAATGCACCAAGTGGACCCTGACTCTAGGACAGAGTAGAACCACCCCGTAGGGCTTCCAAGGCTGTAAATCTTGCTAGGAGCCCGCGGCCTCATTTTTATCCCACGGAGCGGCTGGTAAACTCACACTGCCAGCTTTTCAGTTAGGAGCCCAGCGCTTATTCCACAGTGCCACCTGGGTTCCTGCCATACTACTATTTGGTAGTCTAGTCCCATTTAAAAACATAAGTGACGTAGCTAGAGTAAGAATATGGAATCTGATTTCAAAAGTCTGTCCGTAATTCCATGCTTTTCTTCCTTTAAAATGCCATATTGTGGTCATTCGGACAAAGTGGTACTTCCGTGAAATCTTAGCGGTTTGGCACGTGGTGTCATGTGCTGGTTCGAGCAGGGTGCTGACAGGTGTTTTCTAATGAAAACAGAGATAGTGAGGCAGTGTTTTCTGATGTGATAATGCAACATGGATCAGATAGCATGCAGGTCTCGTTACTGTGCTCATGCGTCGGAGAAGACAGTCACACCTCTTGCTGGACTCATGAGCTCCCCTGTGGAGAGGGGCCCTGTGGATTGCCTGGCAGGGGTCCTGACTGTCACTGGGATTCTCACTGTACCCCTTTCCAGAGAGCCTGTAGACGTGGTTGCCTGAGGTGTCTGTAGCTGATGGATGCAGGTGGGCTTGGGGACAGAACCAGAGAGCACAGCACTTTATTTCTTTGGTTATTCTAGCGCTCCCACTTGGTTTACTGACCCCTGTCCTTGTGGTTTTGTCCCGAGATTCTTCCCGTGTCTGCTTTCCATCTACATGTCTGACTTCTCTTACCTTCTGCCTGACTAGACCAGAGAGTTTGTTGTTAACGTCCATTAAGTTCGGACCTGCCTGGTCCCACACTGACCTGACAAGCTTTGCTCCGGTCCCTGTGTCGGTCCCTGTGTCAGTTTTCTCACAGAGGATCTTCCTCTCTTTCGCTGACCTACTGGACCACGCATGATGCCCTTCCTGGGGACTGGCCCCTCGTGACGGCATGCGCAAAGTCTGTGAAACGAAGCCTCATCATCTGTCCTTCTAAGCAGTATTCTAATTGTCCTTACTTCCCTTCCAGACAAATCATTTTGTTCTGCTGACGGTCTATAGTGTATTCGTTACCCTTCACTAACACCAGAGTTCAGGGCATCAGTTCTTTTTAGCTCTTCTTTATCGTCCAGCCTTCACATGCGCTCCATAAGGTCAGTGCGCTGTGTATCTTAATCACTGCTGGGGAAGGATGTCTGATACACCATGGCTGTAGAAAGGAGAATCTCTTCTGAAATGGTCCACAGCCAGCTCGAGGATGGAGGAAAGGGCTCAGTTTTAGGTTTTAGTCTCCAAGCTCCTGACGAGGCTGCACAGAGGAATCGTTTTGCACTTGTTTATTGCCCACCTAGGACTGTGAGCTCAGAGAAACAATGTCCTTTTCTTTTGCAGGAAGAATGCGAACGCTGCGCTGTTGAGCAACTACGAGGTGAGCAGCCGTGAAGGATGCCGGCTTTTCCCCTGTTCTCTGCCCTTTGCTTCTGAGGAGTGCTGCGTTAGGGGCTCAGGATTGCTGCCTGGGCTCATTGGGTTTTCCACTGCTTTGAAGCAGGACAGCTGACCTCTTCTGACGGCCCTTTAAATGTTCTTAAGTTTGTGAATCCACACAGTGTGTCAGGGAGCCTGGGGTCCTTACATTAACACGAATCAGTCTTCCCTAGCTCCCTGAGACTGGCTTAGCTGGTGGGAGGCAGCCTCTTAGGCCATTTGCATTTTGCTAGACGTTTGGATACTTTATCCATTGGGGAAATGTGTTCACTGTATCTCCTTCCACGACAGGAATCTCTTGGGGATGTTGTAGGTTCAATTCCAGAGTACTGCTGTTCAGAGAATATGGCAGTATACCGAGCTCATGATTCTTTTGGTTTCATGGTGCAAATACGAGTTATGTTTATATTCTGTTGACAACTGAAAAGTCAGCAGTTCGAACCCACCAGCCACTCTATAAGAGAAAGATAAGGGAATCTCCCTCTTTTAAGAGTTAATGTTCTGTGCTCGCTTCGGCAGCACATATACTAAAAAAAAAAAAAAAAAAAAAGAGTTAATGTTCTAAAAAACCCCCCAAATTAAAACACACCAAGGTAATATTTTTAGAAACACAAAGGAGAGTCCCCGTCAGTTGGAACAGGCTCAGTGACTGGGGGTTCTTTTATCTGGTAGTCTAGTAAGTGGTAATTGCTTTATGAAGAAGTTGAAAATACTGTGCTAACTGGCCTAACGTGGCACAGAGCCACACACGGTGGTGCCTGGAGACATCCGTGATGCAGGGATGTCACAACCTTCAGTTTGTTACAAACCGCAGTTACCTGCAAAGCACGGTAAATGAGACGTGTCAGTGCCTGAGGAAGCGGAGGCAGGGTGAGGCGGCACTGTGAGTCGCAGGGCCCACTCCTCTACTTCCTTAATTCTCTGGGAGAGTCTCGAAGACCAGAAGGAGAAGCCCTCCCCTCCCTGTTAACCCAGGGCACCTGTGAGCTGTCACCAGGTACTCCCATGTGCTGTCATCACGGCACCTGTGTGCTGTCACCAGGACATCTGTGTGCTGTCACCAGGGCACCTGTGAGCTGTCACCAGGGCACCTGTGAGCTGTCACCAGGGTAGTGTTCTGTTACCAGGACACCTGTGTGCTATCACCAGGGTGCCTGTGTGCTGTCCCTGTGGGGAGGTTTGCTCCTCAAGTTCTAGTAAAGTTATTCTTTATGTAAATCATATTTTATCACCTCATAATTTTGCTTTTTCAGATATTATAACATGTTCATATTACAGTATTAGACTCTTTAAAAAAGTATTTATTTTATTTTCTTATTTTTTGTGTGTGTACCGTCAAATTAGATCTCACTGGTACAGGAGGAGATTGCCCTTCCTTCTCCAACAGAGCATCTGGTGGATTCGAACCACATACCTCTGGGATTGCAGTGCAGAAAAAAGAATTTCTTTTTAATAAAGTTTATTTTTAGGCCTATGTTATGTTTTTGAGATCAGACAAGATTAGTGACATGGTATATATTGATAGGAAAATTTGAAACATTTTAAGTAAACTAATGAGTTTACTTAACTCATTCGTGAGATGACTTAGATGAGAGCTTTGTTTTTGTTTTATGACTTGGGTGTTGTTTTTTTTTAAAAAGTCACTGCTATAAGGTGAACAGCAACACCAGGGGGTACTCACTTCTTGGCATAATCAACCCTCTGAGATGAACAGGGCAACATTTGCCCAGAGAAGGCTCAGAAGGCAGGAAGGGCAAGGAAGGGGTAGGGAAGAAGGAGTGGTGGAAATGGGAAACACAAGGAGGAAGGGGGATGAATATTGTTACACTGTAGGGATTAAAATACGGGTCAGGCAACACTGTATATTCAGTGTTGAATGGAAAACACTATTAACTTTCCCCTGCATATCACCATGAAATGATTTTTTAAAAATTTGAAATGTGAGTTGCTTCTCAGCCTCTCATTTGCTCTGCTGGGATTAGAGTGGGTTTTGTGGGGACAGTGGAGGAGCTCTGCTTGCCTGTTTATCCTTGGAAATATTTCACCTTGGAGTGGATGCGTCCCTCAAGGGTATTTCTGTAAATCTCTTGTGTGCCTCTTCCCAGGTGTTCCAGTTATTAACGGATCTTAAGGAGCAGCGAAAAGAAGGTGGGAAGAACAAGCACAATTCTGGGCAGCAGAATCTGAACACGATCACCTATGAAGTAAGCCCAGGGCCACAGTGGAGCTCTGCCACCTGGGGTGAGGGGTGAGGGTAAGGGGTGAGGGTTGCTCAGCGTTTGTGCTGGGGGAGAGGGTGAAACTCAGCCACCAGGTGTTGAGGTTCAGGGTCGACTCAGCTGCCAGGGAGGGTGTGGAGAGGGACGTGCCAGCCTGCTGCGGACTGGCCCGGTCAGGACTGCCTCTTTGTTGACTTGAATACACTGACCAAAACTCAGTCTCCATCTTTATAAAAAGATGCATTTTTTTTCTTATAGGAAGTGCCAAGAAGCAGAAAACAAAAGTAATTTTGATTGTAATGACTGGTTGACAATTGAGTGCATTCTCTTCCAACCTTATGCTTTGTCCTTAAAAAAAGCAACTTGAAGCCTTGTGTTAGTTTTGTGTCTGTTGTTTGATTCGTTTTGTATGTGATTTCTTGCTGTTTCCTTCCGGTTCTGATTTGCAAACTTAGAGAAGAGTTGCCAGGATAGTAATGGGAGTGTCCACAGTCCACAGCCCCTCACGCTCTTCTCTGACATCTTACACAAAGATGGTACAATGACCCAGACTAAGAAATTGACCCTGCTGCAGTGCCATTAAACTGAAGGTTTTCTTCACACTTGCCCCGTTTTCCCCGCCAGCCTTCCTTCTTCAGGTGATCACCCCAGGACGCCACGTTCCGTTTAGTTATGATCCTCCCTTGGCCTTCCCGCCTCCACACATCCTTATGGTTTGTCGTCTGGGGTGATGGCCCTCAAGAGTGCTGGTCAGGGATTTTGTAGACTGTTCCTCAGTGCAGGTTGGTGTGAAGTCTTATGATGGAACTAAATGTATAGTTTTGTTTTTTAATATAAACTTTATATTTTATCCTGTTTTTCTGAATTTATAGTTCTATGCCCTTGTCATTTCATGATAAGCAATTACTAGTGATAGTCACGTTGGTCCTTGATTAAGTCATTTGCCGTTGCTCCATTTCTGCATTCTGCCAGCTAGCCTACATCTAATTTATTTATCTAGCTATCTCTTTGTGTCTGTATATACTTGTAGCTACTTTGCTTACTGAGTTTCCACTCTTCAAGAATTGTCTGTAAAAAAAAAAAAACGAACACCCCACCCAAAACAGAAACCAAAAGAAATTTTTCAAAAAAGAGTTGTCTGTAATAATGTTAACCTCTCAGTTTTTGTCAGATTGGCTGATATATTTTTTAATTTACTTTGTTGTTGAGAATATACAGAGTGAAACACAGATCAGTTCAACAGCTTCTACACATAATTCAGTGACGCTGATGGTGGTCTTTAAGCTAGACATACCTCCTGTGCTGAGTTGTAACCTCCGTTACATGAACTCACTAGTACCTAAGGTTCTAACCTAACCTTTCAGTTGCCTTGGTCAGTTACGTCACCTACAGTCAGAGCTGCAGTGCTCACAACAGGTACTTTTTTAGTTCAGGTAACTTGGTGTTTGGTTTTAAGAAGACTCCGGGGTATGCTTGTGGTTTAAGGATGGTCTCAGGGTAGTAGTTTTAAGGGTTCAATCAATTTTTTTTTATGCTAGATACAGTTTTTTTCTTTTAAGAATTCCTGTATCTGAAGGCTGGATATTTTGATGGCATTTTATTTTGCAGGGGATTTTTAAAATAAAAAAATTCCGATGCTATAGTACAACCGTTGCCTACTCACTTAGGGTTCTTTGTGTCACGCTTGCCTTTTCCTTTTTTGTAGACATTGAAATACATATCAAAAACACCCTGCAGGCTTCAGAGCCCCGAGATCATCAGAGAGTTCCTCACAGCAATGAAGAGCCACAAGCTGACCAAGTAAGTAAACATTCTATTAAGTGGGATGAGAGTGAGACGTGAAATGATAGCTCGGGGAAGCCGTTCCTGTGACTGTGAACTTGATGGGGTTTTAGGTTTATAATTAACACTGCACTTTTAGGGTAAGGTCAGAGCTTTGATTCTCTTGGAGTCCTTTGTCATCATTTCTCCTGTCTTCCCCCCAAGCATTCTGACCAAATTGGTTGAGAAGTGGAGTTCACAGGGTACTTTGCACCAGGCTGAACAATGAAAAGTCATTTGACATTGATGCTTACTCAAGGCCAGGTGGTTTGACAGTATTTTTATCTGCTCCTCTACTGCCCAGTTATTGCACTTGATAACATTCTTCAATGAGTTGTTGTTTAAAAAATAACAAACATCAGACATTAAATCAGAAGTTTCCAGGGAGCTCTGGTGGCCTAGTGGCAAGGAGCTGCAACTACAATCCCAGAGGCGCACGGTTCGAATCCACCAGATACTCTGCCGGGGAAGGAGGGGCAATCTCCTCCTGTACCAGTCAGATCTGATTTGACAGTACACGCACACAAAATAATAAAATAAAATAAAAAAAAAAATCAGAAGTTTCCACAAGATGAAAGCTAGTGCAGGTCTTTTAGAATTAATACCAGAGCTGAAAATTCCTTAAACTTTTGTCATTTCATCCAGTCAGGTTTTTTTTCTGAGAAAGCAGTTACTGATGTTATGAGCATGTAGTTGATAGTCAGTAAACAACCTGTTTATGAATTGATACCCAGTTAGTAAACTGTTGGTACATTTCTCCTTCTGCCTCTCTCCTCCAAATGAACGTGGAAGGCCAAGGGGAAGGATGATTTCCTTACTGCCTCGAGTCGTTCTCTAGTGTGTGAGAAGGGTGTAGGGGTCGTGTGGACTGCTGGGATGCATGTCAGGAGACCTTCCACGTTGATAGCTGGTAAAAGTTGTCAGGCCGAACCCAGGCACTTACCTGCCTCCTTTATCTGTTAGGGGATTTTCAAGTGTTTTCTCCAGTTGTTGTCTTAACATTGCTTTGTCAGAGCAGACATTTTTGATTTTGATGTAGTCAGAGTTCTCTGTTCTTTGAAATTCATGCTTTTGATGATGTATGTTAGAACTCTTTCACTCAATCCAGGGGCCCAAAGATTTTTCTTTGTGTTTTCCTTGGGAGGTTTGATGGCTCTATGTTTTACGTTTAAATCTGTGATTAATTTTGAGTTCGTAGTTTGAGTATGATACAAAGTCCGTGTTGAGATTTGTGTGTGTATTTGTGTACATATAGATGGTAAAGTATTCCAGTACCATTTGTGGAAAAGAATGTTATTTTCTCCCTTGACTTGCCTCTAGTGGTTTTGTAAAAAAGAAAAGAAAGGGAAAGAAAGGTCCATTTGGTTTGTATCTTTGTTGTTTTCGGTCTCTTTGATCTCTGTGCCCGTTTGCTAGCTCCACCCTGACTTGGCTGTTTCAGAACAGGCCTGCTGGCTCCATTCTCTTTACTCTCTTTGAGCTGAGCCTGTCTTTTCTTTCATTCCTGAAGGATAGTTTCATTGAGCTGGATGTTTTCTTCTTTCATATCCTTAAGAACTTACTCCAGTGTCTTGGGCATCTCATGGTTTCTGATGATGATCTGTGGTTGTTCAAATAAATAGTGTCTTACTTCCCTCTCCCTGTCTCAGTTACCTAGTGCTGTTGGAATAGAAATTATCACAAGTGGGCGGTTTTAACAAACTGAAATTACTTTCTCCCAGTGTTGGAGACTAGAAGTCTGACCAGAGCTGTGGCTCCAGAGGAAGACTTTTCTGTCCATGAACCCCCATCCCTTCCAGACCTCCACATCACTTAGCATCTCTCTTCCCCATCTTGACATGCTTAATCTTCTTTTATATCCTGTTTGGAGATGGACTAGGCGTAGGGTTTTCAAAGGCCCATTGTTTGAGAAATGGGTGGGCGGCCCCAGATCTTAGCTCCCTGTCTTAATATGGAAACTCCACTTGGCACCTGCCCACTGTGGGTGACCTGCTGGTACTTGAACTACTCTAGGTGTGACTTCCAGCAGCACAGCAGCACCCAGGGCCCCACAGCACAGTTAGACTTCATCTCCCATCCTTTGGGCATGCTGTGAGGAGGGGCCAGTCCTGTGGAAACACATCATGCTTGGAGAAACAGAGTCAGCAAAAGAGAGGAAGCCCTTCAGTGAGAGGACTCCTCGCTGAGACCAAGCAGTGTCTGAAGCGCAGAGACTGTGAGGATGGTGTGGGGTCTGGCACGCTTGCACGTGGGGCCTCTGAGTCACTGACAACAGAGATTGAACCAGACACACCCTACACTAATCCTGTTGTAATAACGGAGCAGAGCAGGACCATTTCCAATGGAGATTATAAGCACAAGCGTAAAGTTTAGGATTTACAACATATTTTTTTTGGCAGGACGTAATTCATAACAGACTGCTTTTAAAACTTTTTGTCTGTTGTTTTTCAGCAGTTTGATTATGGTATCTGTAGGTCCTTTTTAGCTCTTTTTTTTTTCTTTAAGAGTTGCTGTATTTGAGGTTTGCTGAGTTTCTAGAGCATATAAGTTTATTTTTCTTCTAAACTTGTTACATTTTTGGCTGTTAGTTTTTCTGGCCTTGTTGTTGTGTTGTTATGTACCATCGAGTCGCTTGTGACTCAGCGACCCTACGTACAAGAGCCCTAAACGCGTTCTATCCTGTGCCAACCTCGCCGTCTCACACACACTCGTTCCCACCACTCCACTCACAGAATCGATCCATCTCATCAAGGATCTTCCTCTCCTGCACTGTCCCTCCACTCTCCCAAACATGATGTCCCTCTCCAAGGACCAGTCCCTCCTTGCAACATGCCCAACGTATGTCAGACGAAGCTTCAGAATCCTTGAATCCCTCTTCTTGGACTTTAAAGACAGAATTTTCAAACTTTTGCATACTGTTCCCCAGACCCCGGAGTCCCAGTTCTTTGGGGTCTCCCCACCTTCCTCTGTTGGAATGATGTAATTCTGCTGATCTGTTTATAAATTGATACTTCTTTCCTCTGTCATCTCCTTTCTGCTGTTAAGCTCATCTGGTGAGTTTTTTATTTCAGCTCTAAAATCTCTGTTTGGGTATAATTTCTGGTTCTTTCCTGAGCACTTTTTCCTATTCCATTTATTTCAAGAATCTGCACTTTGTTATAATAGCTACTTCTGCAGTGATTCCGCCAGCCGGATCATTCAGGGTTTGGCATCTGCGGGATGTCATCCCCCTTGAGAATGAGTCATGTTTTCCTGGTTGAGGTAATTTTAAATTGTGTCCTGTATGTTATGAATAATAGACTTTGGGCTCTACTAAAATCTCCTCTGCCTGATGTTCATTTTTCTGTTTGTTTTCTTTAGTGGGTAATCACCCCAGTTAGAGTGAGACTGCCTTCGCGAGGGAGGGTTTGTGTATTTGCCTGGGGTGGGGGCACGAGATCTTAATTTTGTCCAGTAGGTGTGGTGCTATGTTGGGTTTGTTCTGTGCGTGCAAAGCTTAAGGCGAGCCCCAGTTTGGTTCTGATTTGTATTTAAGTGTAAAAGATCTTCTTCACGGGCTCTCTCTTGTCTGGGAATCCCTCCATACACCCTGGCCCACAGCGAATCCTTTTCTTAATCTTTTGACTACAAGTTTGAGATTTCTCTCCAAGTTTCAAGTGTCGACATGATACTTGAAAGGAGCCCTAACTAACCTCAGTCTAAATTCATGGTGGTGTGGTGGCTAAGCACTACAAGATTGGTGGTTGAACCCATTGGCCACTCTGGAGAAAGGTGAAGCAGTCTGCTTCCCAGGTTTACTGCTACCTGGACCCGTCAGCAAACGAAGCGATAGAAAAACTGCTGCATTCACACCATGGAACATTACACGGCATTGAAAAGAATTACACAACGTGGATGAGTCTGGAAGACATCATGCTGAGCGATATATCTCAGTCACCAAGGGACAAATACTGCCCAAGACCACTGTTACAAAAGTAGGATGGACTTGGGAGGAGAACAGGAAAAGAACCGCTAGATAATGAACACTGCACTGGAATAGGTGAAGGGGAGGACAGTGAACGGAATGGATGACTAGACCTCACATGTGTGACGATCAGGAACAAGACGTACATTACAAAATGAACTGGGGCGGGACAAGAGAAGAAAATGTGTAGCAATGAATGAATGGAAACTCAGCCTTTCTGTAGACTTTCCCAATTTTAAAATAATAAGGTTTACAACCTTGAAAACCTTATGAGGCAGGTCTCTGCTCTGCAAGGTCACTGCACGTGAGCTTATTACTGGGGCCACCCTTGAGGCAAAGCTGGGAGAAGACGACTCCTCAGGCCTTTTTTGACCCCAAGGTCTCCTCGGTTCCTCGGGCCATGAAGCATTGCAGCTGCTGGAAGGAAGCACCCCCTGTCAGAACCCCAAGACTTGTCCTGGGTTGTGAGAGGAGAGAGGTATGAGAAAGTGGTTCACCTGGTCTCCACATCTCAGCAAAAAGAGGGATGTTGCCATGATATCTAGCTGCTGTGCCACTATCATGGCAGCCCTGGGCCGAGGACACGAGAGAAGAGAGAAGAAAACAACAGAAGCTCCTGTCCTCCTCCTAGTGGATCCTTCTGGTTTTGTTTCCTCCTGTCACAGATTGAACTAAGTCCCCAGTGTGTATGTGTCTGTTGATGTTGACTTGACCATGATGCTCAGTGTTGAGTAACTTGTATGCCATTGAGTCTGAACTGACCTATAGGTGACCCTGTGGGTTTTCAGAGGCAGTTAATCACACGGGAGGAGATTGTCCATCCTTTTCTCGCAGAGCGGCTGGTAGATTTGAACTGCAAGCCTTAGGGATTGCAGCGCAGCTTCTTGCCACTAGGCCAGCAGAGCTCCCTGTTACGTAACTAGCTCTGTGATGTTGATGAGGCTGGATTAGAGGCAGTTAGGTGGCATCCGCCATGATGTGAGCAATCAGTCAGCTGTCACCAGAAGACGGTGGG